TTTTGACAGTTTTCCCATCATGAAGACATAGGGATGATGGGAAAACTTATTATTAGCCCACTAATAATTATCACCCACTAATAATTATTCACCAATGAAACTAAGACATAATCAATTAAAAATTTGCACATTGGCCCCAAAGTCGGAACCCCTGGAGGCACAGCGGGTTAAACTGCTGAACTTGCTGACCAAAAGGTTAGCGGTTCGAATCCGGGAAGTGGGGTGAACTTCCACTGTTAGCCCCAGCTTCTGCCAACCAGCAGTTTGAAAACATGCAAATGCGAGAAGATCGATAGGTACCGCTCTGGTGGGAAAGTAATGGCGCTCAATGCAGTCATGCTGGCCACATGACGTAGGAAGTGTCTATGGACAATGCCGGCTGTTTGGATTAGAAATGGAAATGAGCACCACCCCCCAGAGTCGGACTCAACTAGACTTAATGTCAAGGGGAAGCCTTTACTTTACTTAGGGCACAAAGTCAGGGCAGGTTGAAGAAGACAGTATTAGATGAATGCAGTTGGACACCACTTTCCGCCCTGAGTCTCTCCGGGGTGATAGGGTGAAATATAAATAATAAATAAATAAATAAGTTATTATTTTACTGACACCACAGTATGTCACAGCAAACGAGATCTATATGCTGGATTCAGCAGCAGAGTAGCAAAGCGCAAGGGCAGATATCTTCACTGTGTCTGTTTTGTTGTGCCAGTCAGCTTTCATATGATATTATTTCTAGCACCCACTTTTTGCTTAATATTCAAACAGTGCTTCTTATAAGTCAGAGCATGATACAGATACAGGTATTTAGGTGCGCTGCAATGCTCCAGTGGGATTCCTTCCCAGGTGATCCTCAGAGCTTGAGATGCTTGTCTGTTCTTAAGGGGAAAAGCACACATCTGCATTTTAGATAGATTAGGAATTAGCTGGTTTTCCGTGTAATAGGTAGTAAGAGCACCTCACAGTTTCTGTTCAACTATTGGGTGGTGACGATCGTCAGCATAGATGAAACTCTCTGTCCCTTATATCAGTGGCTGATCATTTGTATAAATGTTAAACATGGATGGAGCAAGCTTTGGAGAGCTTCTGTTCAACCATTTCAAAGGTCCCTGCTTGAGTGGTGATGGCACAATCGTCAGCATAGATGAAATTCTCTGTTCCTTTTGGCAGTGGCTGGTCATTTCTGTAAATGTTGAACAATGATGGAACAAGCTTTGGAGAGCTTCTGTTCAACCATTTCAAAGGTCCCTGCTTGAGTAGTGATGGCACAATCGTCAGCATAGATGAAATTCTCTGTTCCTTTTGGGAGTGGCTGGTCATTTCTGTAAATGTTGAACATTGATGGAACAAGCTTTGAAGAGCTTCTGTTCAACCATTTCAAAGCTCCCTGTTTGGGCGGTGATGACACGATCGTCAGCATAGATGAAACTCTCTGTCCCTTCTGGCAGTGGCTGATCATTTGTATAAATGTTAAACAWGGATGGAGCAAGCATGCRCCCCTGGGGCATGCCATTCTTCTGTTTTCGCCATCTATTGAGASACCTGAGTTAAYTCAGAGCATGGGCCAGAGTGACACCCAGGTATTTGGGTGTGCTGCAATGCTCCAATGGGATTCCTTTCCAAGRAATCCTCAGAGCTGTTAAGATGAAAAGCACAAGTCTGTATTTTAGATGGTTTAGGAATCAGCTGGTTTTCCCTGTAATAGGCAGTAAGAGCACCTAAAGCTTTGGAGAGCTTCTGTTCCACCARTTCAAAGCTCCCTGCTTYAGTGGTGATGGCACGATCGTCAGCATAGATGAAACTCTGAAGTAAAGATTAAGTACTTTGGCCACATAATAGGCAGTAAGAGCACCTAAAGCTTCGGAGAGCTTCTGTTGAACCATTTCAAAGCTCCCTGCTTGAGTGGTGATGGCACGATCGTCAGCATAGATGAAACTCTGAAGTAAAGATTAAGTACTTTGGGCACATAATAGTCAGTAAGAGCACTTAAAGCTTCGGAGAGCTTCTGTTGAACCATTTCAAAGCTCCCTGCTTGAGTGGTGATGGTACGATCGTCAGCATAGATGAAACTCTGAAGTAAAGATTAAGTACTTTGGCCACATAATAGCCAGTAAGAGCACCTAAAGCTTCGGAGAGCTTGTTCCACCATTTCAAAGCTCCCTGCTTGTGCGGTGATGGCACGATCGTCAGCATAGATACAACTCTCTGCCATGAAATCATGGGAATTGTAGGTTTACAGGTCTTGAGCCTTCCTGGCCAAAGAGGCTTGTGCTGTGGAATCCTAGGGTTCCACAGCACAAGCCTCAAATTGAATTAATTCTTCAATACAGAGGCATCCTTGGTGGATAAATGATTTAACTCTGTTTACTACCCTTTCATTTCCCTATCGAAACCCGCATTTGCAACTGGCCTTTTGCACGTTGATGGGATTCACAAGTTAATGCCTTCAAAGGAACAAATGTGTTTTTCCTTTTCTGTTTCTGGAACAAAAGAGCAAAAAAGACGACTGTGCCCGAACCGCCGAACCATCTGTTTGTGACACGTTCCGGCACACCTCCGAGAAGACTAGACGGAGGAGGAGGACGGAGGACGGCAGTTGTGTTACAAGAGATAAAAACAGGGAAACAAAATATATTGCAGAAGTAAGAAACCCTTATCTCCCACTCAGCCACGCTGCTCCCTTTGCCATAATTCATTTCTGAGGAAGCCCCCGGAATAATTTTTGATGTAAACTCGGCTACAAACATATATCACTTTGTTGATAAGATCAAGGGGCCAGGACGAAAGTGTCATTCCGTCAGGCACCCAAATATGAGCGCTCGTTCCTGCCTCCTCTTGAAAAGTGCAAAAGCGAGGGAAGAGAGAAAAAAAAGGCCCAGAATGTGTAGAGAGAGAGAGAGTTGTGGTGCAAACTCTCCACAAAGCATGATGGGATGTTGTGAGTTTTCTGGGCTGTAAGGCCATGTTCCAGAAACATTCCTTCCTGACGTTTCGCCTGCATCTATGGCAGGCATCCTCAGATGTTGTGAAGTCTGTTGGAAACTAGGAAAATGGGTTGAATGAAAAGTAATGCCTCCACTTTCGTAACTCCTCAACAGATGGCAGTACTGCTATGTGGCAGGTACTGGCTTGTTCAGTAGACTCTGTTCTACAGTTCCATTTTGGCAGGAAGCCTTAGCATTGAACGGTTGTGTTGTTAAAGTGCGAAGTATGGAACCCTGCGCAGATGGTTCGTCAATGCAACTTAAGCAACGTATGCGGCAGGTACTGGCTTGTTCAGTAGACTCTCCTCTACAGTTCTATTTTGGCAGGAAGTCTTAGCATTGAATTGTTGCGTTGATAAAGTGCGAAGTATGCAACCCTGCGCAGATGGTTCGTCAATGCGACTTAAGCAACGCATGCGGCAGGTACTGGCTTGTTCAGTAGACTCTCCTCTACAGCGGAAAGTCTTAGCATTGAACGTTTGTGTTATTAAAGTGCAAAGTATGGAACCCTGCACAGACGGTCGGTCAATGCAACTTAAGCAACGCATGAGGCAGGTACTGGCTTGTTCAGTAGACTTTCCTCTACAGTTCCACTTTGACGGGAAGCCTTAGCATTGAACAGTTGTGTTGCTAAAGTGCGAAGTATGGAATCCTGTGCAGACGGTCGGTCAATACAACTTAAACAATGTGCAGTCATTGAATTCTTGACAACAGAAGGTGTCACCCCAAAGGAGATTCATCAGATAAGCTGTTTATGGTGATTGTGTTGATGTGAGTACTGTGCGTTGTTGGGTGAGTAAGTTTAAAGATGTTGAGGTGACACCTTCTGCTGTCAAGAATTCAGTGACTGCACATTGCTAAGTCGCATTGACCGACCGTCTGCGCAGGGTTCCATACTTTGCACTTTAACAACACAACCGTTCAATGCTAAGGCTTCCTGCTAAAATTGAACTGTAGAGGAGAGTCTACTGAACAAGCCAGTACCTTTTGCATGCGTTGTTTAAGTCACGTTGACCAACCGTCTGCCCAGGGTTCCATAAGTTTAAAGAGGTTGAGGTGACACCTTCTGTTGTCAAGAATTCAATGACTGCATGTTGTTTAAGTCACACTGACCAATCATCTGCACAGGGTTCCATACTTTGCACTTTAACAATACAACCGTTCAATGTTAAGGCTTCCTGCCAAAATGGAACTGTAGAGGAAAGTCTACTGAACAATCCAGTACCTGCCGCTTGCGTTGTTTAAGTCGCACTGACCGACCGTCTGTGCAGAGTTCCATACTTTGCACTTTAACAACACAACGGTTCAATGCTAAGGCTTCCCGCCCAAATGCCACTGTAGAGGAGAGTCTACTGAACAAGCCAGGACCTGCTACATACCAGCACTGCCATCTGTTAAGGAGTTACGAAGGTGGAGGCACTACTTTTTATTCAACCCTCGTATATCTGTGGAATGTCTAGGGTGAGAGAAAGAATTCTGGTCTGTTGGAGGTCGATGTGAATGTTTCAATTGGCCACCTTGGTTAGCATTTAATGGTCTAGCAATTTCAAGTTCTGGCTTCTTACTGCCTGGGAGAATCCTTTGTTGGGAGGTGATTAGCTGGCCCTGATTGTTTCTTGTTTTGAATTTCCCTGCATTTAAGTGTTATTCTTTATTTACTGTTATGATTTTAGAGTTTTTGAATACAATCAGGGTCAGCTAATCACCTCCCAACAAAGGATTCCCCCAGGCAGTAAGAAGCAACACCTTGAGTATGCTAGGCCATTCAATGCTAATCAAGGTGGTCAATTGCAATATTCACACTTGCTTCACACAGACAAGAGTTCTTTCACTCACCCTGGTCACTCTACAGATATATAAACTCCACTTGCCTAGTTTCCAACAGACCCCACAAACTCTGAGGATGCCTGCCATACATGTGGGCGAAACGTCAGGAGAGAATGATTCTGGAACATGGACAGAAAGCAACCCAATGAAGGAAAGAGTGGAGAAAACCTCAACGAGAGGCAAGCTACTTACTCGGGCTCTTCTCTTCTGCCAGGTCGCAAGTGCAAAGGAGTTCGGCATCGATGGAGATTGGCTTCTGCTTGATCCAGAACTTGGTGCTGGCTTTCTGGTTTGTAACGGGGTCCACCTCCACCTTGTCCCCTGAAATACCTGGGTGTCCAATGGAAGGGGGGGAAAAGCAGACATTGAATAAACAGGTTAAATAGATTTACATATAGCAAAGATGATGAACAACTGCACTGTATCCTGTCAGATCCCCAAAATCTGGAGGAAAGCAAGAGTCATTGCCATCTTGAAGCCAGGCAAAGACCGTAATGATCCAAAAAGCTATCGACCAATCTCCCTGTTGTGCCACCTCTACAAAGTTCTGGAGAGACTTATTTTGCATAGAATTGTGGAAAAAATAGACCCATGTCTGATTCCACAGCAAGCTGGCTTCAGGAAAGGCAAAAGCTGCACATCGCAAGTGCTGAACCTGGCTCAGCACATAGAAGACAGCTTTGAAAGGCAGCAGATCACAGGAGCTGTCTTCATAGACCTGTCAGCAGCTTATGATACTGTAACCACCGCCTCCTCCTGAGAAAAATGTATAATATCACAAAGGACTACCACCTCACCTGCCTCATAGGAAACCTGCTACAAAACAGGAGCTTTTTTGTTGAGTTCCAGGGCCAGAGAAGCAGATGGCGGAAACAGAAGAACGGCCTGCCTCAGGGGAGCGTGCTTGCTCCATCCATGTTCAACATCTACACAAATGACCAGCCAATGCCAGAAGGGACAGAGAGTTTCATCTATGCTGATGATCGTGCCATTACTGCTCAAGCAGGGAGCTTTGAGATGGTAGAACAGAAGCTCTCCGAAGCTCTAGGTGCTCTTACTGCCTATTACAGGGAAAACCAGCTGATCCCTAATCCATCTAAAACACATACATGTGCTTTTCACCTTAAGAACAGACAAGCATCCCGAGCTTTGAGGATTACCTGGGAAGGAATACCACTGGAGCATTGCAGCGCACCCAAATACCTGGGAGTCACTCTGGACCGTGCTCTGACCTACAAGAAGCACTGCCTGAACATCAAGCAAAAAGTGGGTGCTAGAAACAATATCATACGAAAGCTGACTGGCACAACCTGGGGATCACAACCAGACACAGTGAAGACATCTGCCCTTGCGCTATGCTACTCTGCTGCTGAGTACACATGCCCAGTGTGGAACACATCTCACCACGCTAAAACAGTGGATGTGGCTCTTAATGAGACATGCCATTATCACAGGGTGTCTGCGCCCTACACCACTGGAGAAATTACACTGCTTAGCCGGTATTGCACCACCTGACATCCGCCAGGAAGTAGCAACCAATAGTGAAAGGACCAAGGCAGAGACATCTCCAGCTCATCCCCTGTTTGGGTATCAGCCAACACGTCAATGACTTAAATCAAGAAATAGTTTTCTAAGATCTACAGAGACACTCGCTGGAACACCTCAGCAAGCGAGAGTCCAAAAGTGGCAGGCTCAAACCCAGAACCTCAAATGGCTGATACCAAATGAGAGACTCCCCCCTGGGCACACAGAAAACTGGGCGACTTGGAAGGCGCTGAACAGACTGCGCTCTGGCACCACGAGATGCAGAGCCAACCTTCAGAAATGGGACCACAAAGTGGAATCCACAACATGTGAGTGTGGAGAGAAGCAAACCACTGACCACCTGCTGCAATGCAACCTGAGCCCTGCCACATGCACAATGGAGGACCTTCTTGCAGCAACACCAGAGGCACTCCAAGTGGCCAGATACTGGTCAAAGGACATTTAATCAACCACCAAGCTTGCAAACTTTGTGTTTTGTCTGTTTGTTTGTTTTGTTAAAAATGTAATACAACTGTCTGGTTGCTCCTGACACGATAAATAAATAAAATATAGCAAAGAAAAACATTGATGGTTCCCTGCTTGAGTTTTTTATTGCTGAGATCCCGTAGGAATGTGGCTATGGATCCATTTTGGGAGGAGGGCCATATTAGTCTCTTTGATCACAAATCCCAAGGCTTGTTGTGTATGTATGTATATGTATTTTCCCCCCTAGTGATAGGGACTGCCTCTTTGTTATCGTTGTGTTAACTCCCTTGCTTCCTTTTTTTTAAAAAAAAGAGAAGAAAAATTATTTCCAAGGGAGGCGGAGAGGGACCTCTCCAACAAAGAAACAGCCTCCCCGTGTGTTGTTTTTAAATACTCCTTTATTCCTTTTGCCTATTTCAGCCTGACCTTGACCTATAACTCATGACCTAAAAATGTAATTACTTTTAAGTCTTCCCCAGCACAGCTGCCACTATGAAAAAGTAGAGAGAGGGCTTTGGTTACTCATGTCAGAGGAGAAAACCTTGTAATTGTAAGTTAAGCAATGAGATGCTGTCCGTTTTTCTGCTCCGCACGGCAAGGTTGTCGTCGCTTTGGAGGAGAGCCGAGGGGGGAGAAAGAAAACCATCACAGAATCGGTAATAAATGGCTCGACTTCTTTCCAGGGTTGGATTAACTTCTTCTGTGGGTCCTTTCGGTATCTTGGATCAGCGGAATGGCATTCAGGCGTCATTCCTTTCACGAGGAGACGATCATATTGGAACCATTGCTTTGTTTTACTTATTTATTAATTTATGCCCCACTTTTCTCCCACCAAGATTTACATTGCTGTGGTTCAAGTCATTTATTACTACTACTACTACTACTACTACTACTACTACTACTACTACTAGCCATCCCCTACCACGTGTTCCTGTGGCCCAGTCTGGTGATCTGGAAAATGAAGTAATGAGAACATGTTGGTTTCTAATATATGTAATTTCTTTATGCCTTGGGTTAGTAGGTGTCTTGTGGCCAAATTTGGCAGCAATTTGTGCAGTGGTTTTTGAGTTATGTTAATCCCACAAACAAACATTACATTTATATTTATGTAGATTATTATTAATATTACATGTAACATAAAATATATAATTATAATATTGTATTATTATAATATTGTATTACATTATAACATTATAAATATTATATATATATATACAATATATCATATTATATTATATTATTATATATTTTCCCCCTTCTCTCTCCTATGTTTTCGAATGCATAATATTTTATGGTAATACTAGCCACCCCCTGCCATGCGTTGCTATGGCCCACATGGGGGTTCTGTGTGGGAGGTTTGGCCCAATTCTATCGTTGGTGGGGTTCAGAATGCTCTGTGATTGTAGGTGAACTATAAATCCCAGCAACTACAACTCCCAAATGTCAAGATTCTATTTTCCCCAAACTCCAGCAGTGTTCACATTTGGGCATATTGAGTATTCGTGTAAGTTTGGTCCAGATCCATCATTGTTTGAGTCCACAGTGATCTCTGGATGTGGGTGAACTACAACTCCAAAACCAAAGGACACTGCCCACCAAACCCTTCCAGTATTTTCTGTTGGTCATGGGAGAACTGTGTGCCAAGTTTGGTTCAATTCCATCATTGGTGGGGTTCAGAATGCTCTTTGATTGTAGGTGAACTATAAATCCCAGCAACTACAGCTCCCAAATGACAAAATCCATTTTTTTTAGTGAAGGACATACATTGGGTTGTTAGGTGTCTTGTGTCCAAATTTGGTGTCAATTCGTCCAGTGGTTTTTGAGTTCTGTTAATCCCACAAACGAAATTACATTTTTATTTATATAGATATCAGTTTCCAACGGACCTCACAACCTCTGAGAATGCCTGCCATGGATACAGGTGAAACATCAGGAGAGAATGCTTCTGGAATATGGCCATAAAGCCCGGAAAGCTCACAACAACCCAGTGATTCCGGCCATGACCAAATTACAGATCCAGATAACCGTAGTTTTGTGTAGACCACATTAGACTAGTTTCCTTGCCAGGTCATGGGGGACCTTGTCGAAGGGAGGCCTTCCTGAAATCCAGATATGCTACATCCAAGTCATATCCTCCCTGGGCAGAATAGAAAGAAATAATAATAATAATAATAATAATAATAATAATAATAATAATTTGAAACACAGCAAGATGAATCCACAGCAAAGTATGGAACCCTGCACAGACGGTCGGTCAATGCGACTTAAGCACCGTATGCAGCAGGTACTGGCTTGTTCAGTAGACTCTCCTCTACAATTCCATTTTGGCGGGAAGCCTTAGCATTGAACGGTTGTGTTGTTAAAGTGCGAAGTATGGAAACCTGCGCAGACGGTCGGTCAATCCGACTTAAGCACCGTATGCGGCAGGTACTGGCTTGTTCAGTAGACTCTCTTCTATAGTTCCATTTTGGTGGGAAGCCTTATCATTGAATGGTTGTGTTGTTAAAGTGCGATGTATAGAACCCTGCACAGATGGTTGGTTAGTGCAACTTAAACAACGTGCAGTCATTGAATTCTTGACAGCAGAAGGTGTCACCCCAAAGGAGATTCATCAGAGAATGCAAGCTGTTTATGGTCATTGTGTTGATGTGAGTACTATGCTGTCATTGGGCAAGTAAGTTTAAAGATGTTGAGGTGCGAGTATCTGACTTGCGTGACAAACAAAGAGTTGGACGTCCTGTGACAACAACCACCGAGTTTCACAAGCAAAAGGTTGACAGACTAATTCAGGACAATCGTTGTATCACTCAGAGAGAAATTTCAAGCATAATTGGTATTTCACAAGACCGTGTGGATCACACTATTGCTTTGCTTGGCTATTGGAAGATCTGTGCATGATGGATACCCAGGATGAGTAACGTTGCAAACAGTAGTGTGGATGCCAGAAGGGGAAAAAGGGTTACGCGGGAGCAGGAATCTGATGAGGAGCAGCAGAGGAAGAGGATCCGGGATATACTTATGGCACCTACAGATGAGGATTCATTTGAAGGGTTTTCTGGGGATGATGGGTCAGGGAGTGGGGAAAACGGGGTTGACAACGTGGATAGGACGAAGGTGAAGGAAGTGCAAGCTATTTGCGTGGAGCCAACATCTAGTGATACATTTATGGGGTTCTCTGAGGGTGAAGACTGGCAATCGGGGAATACAACTGAGTCTTGGAGGGATCTAAGTCTTGACAGGAGATGGAGAAGATGGAGGGATGGATGCAGGGATTCATGTGAAGAGTTGGGAGCAGCTGCAAGGGATAATGATGGGGCGGT